ATGAATTGATATAAGATCAAAAGTCAATTAAAAACCATTATGATGATTGTAAAAGACATCAATGGATTGCTATATTAAGCATTGTTAACATTTATTTAGTGCTTCGCAATATTAAAATCCGCGACAGTAACCACTTACAACCACTTGTTGATGTAGCCACTTGCTATCACTTGTTATGGCAACTGCTAACTAACCAACTGTTGATGTAACCACGTGCAGCTACTTGCTACTGCAACCACTTGTTAGTGAAGACGCCCTGTACAGCAGGTGGTTGTAAGTGGCTACGCATGGTTACAGCAACAGTAGGTGAATTTATTCCTCATAAATTGAGCTCCCAGGAAAAACTGAACCAGAAATTCCACGTGATAAAGCAAATTAAAAGAGGAAAGGATGGAAAGTGTAGAAAGTGTATAAACAAAAACGTATCGATCGACAAACTATAAAAGCAATACATATATATTCAATATAAAACAATGCATTGAAACAAAGGTACTCAACCGTCTTTAAGGCATCTCCTTCATTTGGGAGTGTCGTGAAACTCGAAATAATCTCTCGAGCCTCAAAATAACTTACAAAATTGAACAGTTAGAAATGTAAAACTATTTCAAATTACATATGTAAACAATCATTATTCCAACTCTCATCTTCCCACTGTACCTAAGTTTATTTGCTTGTCTAAACATTTTCAACTGATAATAAAGAGTATGTACATTGTTTAATATGTTAAAAATTAGTCTTTTGTTCCAAGTCAAATTTGCTTGCAATGTCGAAATACTGTGATGATCTTCTAAGCTGATAATCATTCTTTGGGTCATCATCAAAAAGAAGATCACACATCTCGAATATTATGCTAGGTCTCTCGAAACAGCCAATCAAAAATGCATGAATATCATTCAGAGCTTAGCCATCGCGACGAAGCGAAAAAAAGAAGAGACGAAATATGCCTTGATGACTATTATTATTCTTAAAATATGTAGTGATGAATACTGCCTGGTACTTCATATTTAGATCAAGAAGATACCAGAGAATCATTCTCATAGAATAGTATAGTTCTCACTAATCAAGCGGAGATAAAACTCCCACAATTACCACTAATAACATTTAGTGGAATGCAAAATTATGGAGGCAATTTTGGTGTAGTTTCAAGGCGACAGTTCATGAGCAAAACACCCCAGATAATCAGAAGTTGAACTATTTGATATCTTGTCTTAAAGGAGACGCATTGTTAGCTGTAAGAGGCTATGATATAGCGCCAGAAAACTACGATGTCATAATAAGTTTACTAATAGAGAAATATGGTAAACCTTTCATTACATATATATTGTAACACTTTACAATAAATTGAATTCCATCAAAAGAAATGAGCATGACTGGAAACCATGGAGAGAATACTTTGACAGCTGGAAGCTATAGGTGAAAATTTAAAGCATCGAGTATCGAAATTTCAATTAAGAATAAATTAACAGCGTGGATAGTTAATAAATTATATAAATTGAAACAGGAGTCTGTCGACTTGGTCAGTTAAAGGTATCCAACATACTTGACAAGACTAGTACTAAAAAATGAAGAAGTTGCTAGAAGTCAAACAAGAAGACAACAGGGAGAAGAAAGAAAACAAATATAATGTTAAGGGTCACAATCAATTCATCAAAGGGAAATAATACAATCAAATCAAAAAGGGTTCCAGAAGAAACTACTATAGATGGAAAAAGACTGAAGTATTTTGCAATAAGGACCATTGGAATAATTAATGAATGTAACATTTATCCCACACTCAAACTCCGAATGGAACGTTTGAGGAAAATCGCTGTGTGTTTCAAATGTTTACGAATAGGATATGCGACAAGTGATTACAAAAAGTGGAAACTTTTGTGTTTTCATTGTTTAAGTTTACACAATACTCACTGTGTCCTCTTAACTATAAAAAACTCACGCAAACAATGGATTCCAACAAAGAAAAATTAGTTGATATGATAGAACTGTTAAGAAATAGACTGAATTACTTCTAGCAATGTATTATTGTTTTAATTTAGGTACTATTATTTATTCCGTGATTTTGAACTCGAAGATTTGATCAACAATGCTGGTGGTTGTTAAGAAATTAAATTTCTTTGTTGAATGCAAGAAATGCCCTAGAAATCTTTCTATGTCAACTTTATGCAATTTTCTATGTCATTTTGAAACAAACAAAATTTGTTTTTTGATGTTCAGAACATAGTTCATCATTAAAAAAAACACATACGTAATATACTGATAAATATTTAAACCTAACATACGCGTATAATGTATACTTAAATATAATGTAAGATTATTTATGTGTTATTATAACAAATCTCAATTTTATTCAGCAACAAATGTCACAGAATTTTACAACATTAAGTTTCTTACAAGACTTCAAAGCTGATAAGTTGAACAACATTGTAAATCCCAGCTCCCCAAAAAAATCGAATCAGAATTGGTCGACCACTGCTGCAACAAAAGTATCATTAAGCAATGCAAACAAGAATCAGCGTCAATAGTTTACTTACATGGAATCATACTGAAGCAAAAAACCATTTTATGTTGAGAATATTGACAATAACAAATTTTAATTTTATTCAACAATAAACTTCGCAGAAACTTACTTCCACGGTAGCATTGTTTCGTTGATGTAACCGAAATCTAATAGTCCGTTTAGCAAAATTCTGTCAATCTGTGTGCTATCATCCCACGATGAACTTTCAATAGAAATGATACTATCTCGAATAAGTTCAATATTTTCAGCAAATTCATCCATGTTTTCTTCATAGGGAATTTCATCGTTTTCGCCCAATTCGTCATCAAATGCATAAAAAATTTTCAGTGAATTCCTACTTTTTTAAAATATTTTTTCATTTAGAACCAAATTGTAACAATATAAAAATAAAAATTACCGGAATTGGTCTCTGAGGTGCTGCTAATAATATGAATGTGCTAAGAACGTAGAGCAGTAATGGTGACGTAAAAAATGAGAATTGTGCATTTGTCATTGTTGCCGGATTCCTTAATGAAAGGAGAAATTGTGATAACATATATTTTAATGAGTGATAATTTAAACTGATAAACTCTGACGTTTCTATTTTTCAGTCTAACAGCAAAGCACTGATAAATTATATTTTATGAATTCCATTACCACACCATCAGTTGTTTTGTAGAAAAATACTTACTAAATATGCAGTGAATTTAAAATCAATTTCGTTCCTCTTTTTAGCTAACTAATCCTTATTTTGTCTAAATATGATATAATTAAAAAAAATATGCTAGAAATAAAAATCAAATAATTTCGAGAATAAATGCAGAACTTCCCATTCCTAAATTCATTTTTAAATTGTTTAAGAATTCAAGCGAAAAGGTTACGAGATTCCGAAAGCGATAAAAAATGAATTTGAAAATTTTTTCACAAAAAACTCCACTTATCAGTTAATTTATATGAAATTATGCAGGTTATCACCAGAAATCATTTCCATTTATTTAATAATTTTATCATGCTTTGAATAGAATAAAAGGATTTACATGTCAAACAATGATTCCATGTTTTAATAGAGACAATTCAACAAAAAATTAACAATAATTTTTTTTATTTCCACTAAAGATTACAATGGACAAAATTCATAGCAACTTTGCTGTTTAAAAAAAAAAAAAAAAATACATGTCTCCCTTACTACAAGGGAATGCATAGAGAAGTATATAAATGTTGGAATGTATATAAAGGTAACTTACATTTGATATATGTGCCAGGTACTATTGAAAAATAGCTGAAATAGGCTTGAAATGATCCACTTTCTCAGTTATTTGAATGATTGCAAAATGGAAATTGAAATCAATCGTACTGAAGCAAAAACCATTTTATGTTGAGAATATTGACAATAACAAATTTCAATTTTATTCAGCAGTAACCATCTTACTTCCATGATAGTATCGTTTCATTGGTTTATCCTTTCTTTAAAAATCTATTTAGCACAGTCCTTTCATCATCTGAAAGAACTTGGCAGTATCCAACAATGAACTTGCAACAGGGTTTTCGGCAAATTCATCCATGTTTCGTTGATTATTGTTGCAACTATCATAAATGATTCTCGAATTTAGCCAAAAGAGATTTACTAGTGCTATACTGAAATGAATAAAAAATACTTAACTAAAAGTGCTTTACCAAATTATTTGTTACTGAAATAACGATCTTAGTTCGAGATAAGACTGAACGATTACAAATTTGACAAAAAAACTCTAAGTTAACATCATATTATTTGTTGTATTGTCAAGAAATGTTGCTGGTGATTGTACTGTTAAGAAATATTTTTATGAACAAAGGAATTGGGTGTTCAATTAATGAAAGCGTAAAAATTTTTGTACTCATTTTTAGTAATTTAACTTTAAATGCATTGCAAATTATTAACTTATGATTGCTATTTTATTGTGTCTCTTTTGAAGCTGTCATTCAGTAATTTGAGAAATTTTTGTGCTTGTTGATTACATTTACTTGATTTGTGTTGTGGTCAAAAATTTTCCTATTTTATTAGTTGGCTGAAATTTACTTGATTTTCATTTAATTCAGATGACCAACGACAATTAAATTCTTGAAATCTTTGTTCAGAACTCCAATTTAAATCAGCAAAAATAGCATACTTTAATAGAAGTTAGCTGAAACAGGTGTTTTTTCGAACTTTTATAAGGGAAGAATTTAGGTTACTACATAATTTTATAAGATACCACATGGGGCATTTTATGGCCTTTTTGACGTGGACAATAAAGTCTAACGAATCATTACTTTGTAGTTTTTAGCTTCAAATTATTTGTAATTATAAGTGAAGGTGGCAGAATTTCATTATAATTCTCAGTTTTTTGAGTAATACAAGACTGAAACTGGTTGCACTGTGACAAAAATGATTTAATGTCGAGAGTGAGCAAGTACTAATTTCAGTTTTATTCAACAACAAACATTATCGAATTTTATGGAATCAATTTTCGCTCATAAACGGATAAAATTATACGACTTGAACGCCGATAATTCTACCAGCATTTTGTCCCGTAGTCGTCCGATTAAGTCTAAGTACAAGTGGTCTGCCAGTGCTGGAACAGAAGAACTGATAAGCGATGCAAAGAAAACAACACTAGCAATATATTTATGAGAAGATCGAAGGTAAACTTACTTCCAAGGTAGCACTGCATCAGTTATGTGACCATCTCGCATTAATTGTGTGAGGATATTCATGGCAAGAGGGGAAGTGGTATGCTGAGATGTGCTTAGAAAGATAAAAGTGGTATAGTTGAAAGTAATATCAGTGAAGAAAAGATTGTCAAAATCGTTGTCATCAATATCGTCAGGCTCACCGTATGAGTAATAATCCTCAATTTTGTCGTTATCAACCTCAAAAAATTCCTTGAGAATCCGCACTTTTGATTTTTTAGTTTCTTTCAGTGTCATATCATATTTGTATAACTTCTCAAAAATTACCGGAGCGGATCGCTGCGACGCTACTAATAATATGCTTGTGCCGAAAATGCAAAAAAATAATGTAAAAAGTGCAAATCGTGGGTTTCTCATAATTGTAGAGCGTTTCCAGAATTAGTGCCTTAATGAAGGAAAGCTATGTGAATTTAATACAAACACATATTACAGTGAGTTAAATTTTAATTTGATGAGCCTTGAGGTTGCGACTTTTCAGTCTAACGGAAAAGGACGGGCAATTTCGATTTTCAGAAACTTCAATATCATTTTTTCAAGCATTGTAACTTACCAATCGTTTTTTGAAAGTAAAAATGAAGACCGGATGAATTTGAGGGACAAAATGCAAATATACAATGAATTTCATGTCAATTTCGTTTTTCTTTTAAACTGAATAATCTTTGCTCATTGCATGAATTTAACAACAAGTTTATTATAAATTTTGATCAATTTACCTCATATTTTTTGCAAAATAAAGTGGAAAATGACTTTTGTCCCATGCAAAATCGCATACTTTCGAAGAATTGGAAACACTCTCTTCAAAAGAAACAGATGTTAACACATGATAAACTTTAGTGGTAGTTAAAAATAACAGTAATTAAAAGTAGAAATAATCAGACAGTGTATTTTTCATTTTCCATCTTCCGGAAATATAATTTGTATATGATAACGAAAGTCAGTATTAATAGTAGAGTTTTTTTTTTTTCCATTTCAAAATGTGAAATAAAATGAAAAAATAATTCAGTATGAGTATTCGTTAATGAAGTTCCGCATATCTGTTTTGCATGCTATCATAAAAGTAAAATTTCTGTCTTTAACATGGAACGTAATCTTTATTAAATTATAGCTTAAAATCATATTACAAACAAATAAGAAAAATTAATTATCTACGATATTATTTCTTTCATTTTTGACAGAACTTTTGTTGGTAGTGTAAATATTAATACATTATCATCTTTTTCGATATTTGTTTGCTTGCTGTAATTGGAGACAAACGTTTATAACAAATTATATTGAACATAGCATAACAGTAATCACTGTGATATTTGTTAAATTCTTTTTAAACAATCAAAAAGTCGTAAATTACTTACAATCTAATCAATATTTATAAGTTATTTAAAGTAAACAAAATTGAAATAAGTATTTGTGTGCGTGTGTGTGTGTGTGAAAATTATCCCTTAAATTTTAATTAGCTTATTGCTATACTCTTATTTATTGGTAATTTCAGCCACCAAAAAACACTCCCAAATAAAGTATCCCAATTGATTTCAATCCGCTGATCTTTCTTCTTTTTTCATTATCATTCCATACACAGGGAAAAGTCTCATTTCGTTGTATTAAAATTCTCTTCTTTAGTTAGGGATTGTTTAGTATTTTACAGAGACAGCGCAAACGATTCTTTAGACACTAATATACTTTTTAAAGAAGTTTCTCGAATATAGAGCATAGCTCTGTATGCCTTTATCAATCAATCTTCTTTAGTTCATTGATGTTAGCTTTGATGAAATTTATGGTGAAAATGAAAAAGGATGATAGTCTATCGATTGAAAAATTGAATTATAATATATCAAAATAAAATTATATTAAATTGTTAAAGACTAAAGATTGTCTCAATTGAATGTCTCTTAGAGAAACATAAAATTGTTTCAAAGTTGCATTTTATGTAAGCAATGATTTATCTAACATATATCTTCCAGTTATAGCTGAGCTTATCTGCATTGTCTGAAATGTTACTTTTGTGAATAAAGAATATATATTCATTGTTTCATATTCTGAAAATTATTTCTTTATTCTAAACCAAATCTACATGCAATGTTAAAATATATGTCAAAATATTTCTAATATAGCAGTCATTTTTATGAGCAAATGAATGTTAAAGTAGCAGTAAACAATAAATATTTTATACTATGTAAATAAACATAACGATTGCTCACACTATAATTTGCATTATACAAAGAAAAAAAGACCCGTGTCATATAAAAGATATATGAAGAGTAAAGATAATCTGATAAACATCGTTTTTGCCCAAGTCGTCGTCAAATGCATAAAAAATTTTCGGTGAATTTCTGCTTTTTTTTAAATTTCTGCTTTTTAACTTTTTTTAAAATTAAAACCAAATTATAACAATATAAAAATAAAAATTACCGGAATCAATCTCAGAGGTGTTGCTAACAATATCAGTGTGCTGAGAACGTAGAGCAGTAATGGTGACGTAAAAAATGAGAATTGCGCACTTGTCATTGTTGCAGAGCTCTTATTGATTCCTTAATGAAAGAAGAAATTGTGATTGAAATATAAACGCCATTCTATATTTTAATGAGTGATAATTTAAACTGATAAACTTTGAAGTCGCTATTCTTAAATTAAATTATCATGAATCTCAGTATCTTGTTGATTTGAGTATTATTGATTTGCAAAAATGAAATAATTTTACGAAATGCACATTAATATACACTGAATTCGAGATTAGTTTCGTCTCACTTTTATCTGAATAAACTTTATTCTATGCAAACAGTTCATAATCCTAAAAAAAAAAATTGTTTGTTAAACTTTTGCTAAATCTATACAAATGAAAGAAGAGATTGTGATAACATATATTTTAATGAGTGATAATTTAAACTGATAAACTCTGACGTTTCTGTTTTTCAGTCTAACAGCAAAGCACTGATAAATTATATTTTATGAATTCCATTACCACACCATCAGTTGTTTTGTAGAAAAATACTTACTAAATATGCAGTGAATTTAAAATCAATTTCGTTCCTCTTTTTAGCTAACTAATCCTTATTTTGTCCAAATATGCTATAATTAAAAAAATATGCAAGAAATAAAAATCAAATAATTTCGAGAATAAATGCAGAATTTCCCATTCCTAAATTCTTTTTTAAATTGTTTAAGAATTCAAGCGAAAAGGTTACGAGATTCTGAAAGCGATAAAAAATGAATTTGAAAATTTTTTGACAAAAAACTCTACTTATCAGTTAATTTATATGAAATTATGCAGGTTATCACCAGAATTCATTTAAAAATTTTATCATGTTCTGAATAGAATAAAAGGATTTGCATGGTAAATAGTTATTTCATATTTCAATAGAGACAGCTCAACAAAAAATTAGCAATAAAAATTTTTTTTATTTTCATTAAAGATTACAGTGGACAAAATTCATAGCAACTTTGCTATTTAAAAAAAAAAAAAAAAAAAAAAATACATGTCTCCCTTATTACAAGGGAATGCAGAGAGAAGTATATAAATGTTGGAATGTATATAAAGGTAACTTAGATTTGATATATGTGCCAGGTACTATTGAAAAATAGCTGAAATAGGCTTGTAATGATCCACTTTCTCAATTATTTGAATGATAAAAAAATGGAAATTGAAATCAATCGTACTGAAGCATAAGCCATTTTATGTTGAGAAAAATGACAATAACAAATTTCAGTTTTATTCAACAATAACCGCCAGATAAACTTAGCTTTCCATGATGATATTGATTCACTGATGTATCCTTTCTTTAAAAATCCTTTAGCACAGTTCTTTTATCATCTGAACAGCACAAAGTGTTAAAAAACAAATTAATAAAAATTACTCAAACAGTTTCGACAGATTTAATTTAAATTAATCTAATGAAATTAACTTAGCTTTTTGCTAAATTGATCTGAAAAAATTGTCCTTCTTGACCGTAATTTTTTGTTAATAACTTTAAGTTTCATCACCGTCTTTAAATGATTTCAGTTTAAATTGATAAATGTATGTAAGTCAAGACACATTAATTAATTGTTGAAGCTGAAATATTTCAACCCAACTTATATAAAGAGTAAAGATCATCTAAAGTTATAGTTTTACAAATAATTCGTTATATTTACATTGTCTATAAGTGCAGTGTGTTATTAGGATTACAGTAAAAGTGACGAAATAATCAAAAAGAATATGCGATTATTACTTTAATTACAAAGGTAAAGAAGTGACCATCGGTGATCACTCGAAATAATCACAAAAGTAAAGCACTGATCACTGGAGACATTATAACAGCTTTAATGCCATCAAACAGAAAATTCCTTTGTTCTACTTATCGTGAAATCACTCACAGGCAGTATTACTGAATGAGAGAGCTTTTGGTGTGGATTTTGATGTCATGCACGTTTCGGTGTTCCCTAACTTATACATTGATATTTTTGTATTTTACATATTTAAGCTTTATTTGAAGATTTCGGATGGAAGGATTTGAGTCATTCTTCGTTTTTTGTTGAAGTTTGTTTTTGTTTTGTAGCACTTCTAGTTCGTTTAGCTATGGGTTCCTCTCGTTTATCAGTTCCATTTATTGTATCTTTCGATACTGTTGATTTGTCCTTCGCATCTTCTTTCTGTTGAATTTCCAAAGGATATAACATATTAATAGGTCGATTCATTATTCTTCCTCGTAGTAACTCTATTAGAGCACTTTTTATCTTATTATCCTGTCCCTTATTGAGTTTCTTTATTTTTGCTAATTTCCAAGTACCATGAGGAGCGTTTGATTCGTTTACTATTACAATTTCTTCTTCAATAGGGGCTCTAATCTCTGCGCCTTTCGGAGTTCTACTTGTGTACGTTCTCTCAAACTGGTTAAGTATTCTTCCTTCCATATTTTCTAGAAAGTATCCAGAGTTTCCATTGTTCTTGCCCAATATTTGATAAGTTTGTGTTGAGTATTTAACTTATAAGGAGTATAATCATATCGATCATCGGTATTACTATTAGGTATCATTAGACATACGTCTGGTATAATAAAATCAATAGGTCTTAGGATTATGGAATCGTCGAAGTTTACGTAGGTTAGTGGGCGAATATTAAGTATGCTTTCAACTTCCGCTATTAGAGTTATAAACTCCTTTTCTTTTAGCAATTTCCTACCTATAACCTTTCTTAATGTTCCCTTTGTTAGGCCGATTATCCGTTCGTAAACTCCTCCGCTCCAAGGCGCCTTCGGAATTATATTTCTCCATTTTATTCCATGTTTAACTAGGAATTCGGTCATTTATGTTTCTTGTTCCATTAGGGTTTGAAAAACTAACTGAAATTGACCGACATTATCACTTAGAATTATTTCTCCGCTTCGTGCAACAAATCTTCTGAAAGTATTTAAAAAACTTTCTAAACTGTCTGCTAATTTTAAATGCACTGCTCTAGTTGCAAGACATGTAAATAAAGCAATCCATCTTTTTGCATCTCCTGTTTCTATTTTGACGGAAACAGGGCCCAAATAATCCAAGCCAACTCGTGAAAGTGTTCGTGATCGTGTTACCCGAAATGAAGGGTAATTATGCATAGTTGGCAGTTTAAACGGCTTTGCTTTCCATCTTCTGTATCCTATGCATTTATTTAAAACT